TGCACAGAGATACCTGTTTGTGATTTCATAATAAAAGTGACCCAGGATATGCAAATTGCTTAAAGGATGCTAAATAAAACGAAAAATCAGCTCTAGACAGTAAAAGGCAGGTATCTGTTCTGCTTTGAAGCAGCTCTGATGCAGATGGAGAAGGGAGCAGGGTCCCCAGCGACGGGGATGGGAGTTCCCGGCCCCCTCTTGCACAAGAGGAGATAAGTCACAGGTCTTCTTTGGGAGGGGAAAGGCAAACATATAGGAAAGGCCCTAAAGAGGGATCAAGCTGTTCCAGCCCCGACCTTTCGCATCAGTGCACGCACTCATGTCCTGCAGCCTCACCACCCGGTGCCGCTAAGGCAGCTAACCCCAACCCGGCCTCTCACTCATGGCCCCGGGGCTGTGGGTGGCTCTCACGGCACACACACCAATCTGGAAACAGAACGTGTGTGCTCGGATGCTCATAAGGATTCAAAGGCGTCTGTCTTCCCCTTTGAGTTTCCATCCTCTACCACGGGTAACAGCACAGACCACCCAACAGGCCCAAAGATCCAAAGCAACAGCAGGCAAGGCGGCAGCAGAGGGGGACAGTGTGTCCGTGGCCCTGACCCAGGCCCAGCGCCAATTCACACATAAACACACGCACTCGCGACACATGAGGTCGCCTGGAGGGCTTCGTCTTGACTACGCTGCAACTGAAACTCACCTAATCTAAAATGCCTAACCTAAAATAAAACCCCACTAATTCAGAACCTGTCACCGTTTCGGACAGTGCCTCTGCAGCATTTGTGAAAAAGTATTTTTTTATTATGGTGGAATCTATGTAAAATTTACCATTTTAACCATCTTTAAGCGCACAGGTCTGGGCATTAGGTACATTCACGTTATCCCTACAACTATCACCACCATCCATCTCTTTGTATCCTCCCAACCTGAAGCGCTGCGCCCCCAGAGAACAATTTTTAAGGTTCTAAAAGTTAAACAAGGGAATTGATTGTAAATCTCGTTTCCTCCTCTATAAAAGTCAGTGAAGGCTATTACGCCGACACAACGGTTTATTACTAGGACAACCAATAGTTCTTCACCGGGGCTTCTCTCATCGGCACCCCTGGAGCACAACCAGAGTAACCCGCTCGCTGTTTTAACACGTTGACTGCCACAACAGGAAAAAAAATTTTTCCCTGGGGCCATGGTGATTTATTACAAACGTAGAATAAAAATTTCAAAAACAAAATGATCCTTTCTAATTTAATGATAAATTTGTTATTTTTTATTGTTTTCTGTG